ATGGATCCAGGAGGATGGATCCAGGAGGATGGATCCAGGAGGATGGACCCTGCCCTTGGAGGCAGCCAGGCAAATAATCAGCTGAGGATTCTTCCAGCAGAGAAAGGAGGTTGTGGACTGGTGAGAGCAGGTGTAACTTGGGGCAGTGCAGCTCTTTGCAAGGGTAAGCGTCCTGTTCAGCAAACAGGAAAAACAAAAAAACCCTTCAGAGCTGCAGAAGGGATCCAGACACTTCATATCCATTCAGAGGGAATATAAAGATCCATCAGCTCGTTGTGTTGGGCTGTAGGAACCACTGAGCCCCTCAGCAGGGCGGGTACCAAGCCCTAACTCCAGAGGGAAGCCCTCTCTCCATGTCTCTGGATATTCCCTTCCTGCACCAACTGCCTTCTGGGCAGCTTTTCCAGTCACCTGGCACATCAAAATCCAGGCAAGGGCAATTTCCCCTTTTCCCTCAGCAGCCTCTGGACCACCCCAGCCCACTGTCCTGCTGCAGGACACCCCAGAGATGCTTCACCCACCCACGGGGGGTGTGAATCACCCGAGGCTGCAGCGACGGAAAGTTCAGCCCACGCCTCTGCCCATCAGCCAGCGACCTTCACAAGGGGTGAAGCAGAGCTGGTGGGAGCTGCAGAGCACCCAGAGCTCCTCTGTGTCACAAAGAGGGGTTTAACTCCCCACCCACGCTCTGGTTTGAAACCCAAACCCTCCCGTCGGGCGAGGGTTTCACACCCGACTCTCGAGAAGAGCTTCTCCAGAAGTGCCACCTGCACAGGAACACCCTGGGCACAGCAGTTTCCATCAAAAAAAACCCTGGGTTTAGGCAGGGATTAACTAAACTACATCACTGAGATCAGTTTTATGACTCCTGTCATTTAATTCCAGTTTCAACCCCATCCCTGAAGACCCAGAGGAAGGTGCTGGACAGACCCATCCTGGGGGAGGGGGTGGCTTTTGCTGAAGCAGGAAGAGCAGAGGGCACATCCAAACCCCAGAGACAGCAGGGAAAGCACTCCAGGAGCTCTTTCCTTCCAGAAGCAGGAGCAGGCCCCACCCTCCTGGCAGGGAGCTGCTGCAGACAGTTCCCATTTACTTGGCTCTGGAGCCTCAGCTGGCACTAATTGCTAATTAATATAAATTCACATCTGTCCTGTCTCCCTGACACACGCAGCAGTCTGCACTCATCAACTCCCTATGATTCAGTCCCTTTATCTAAATTATTCCAGTCCATGCCTGTCCCTGGCACATCTCCCTCTCTCCACGTGCTGTCCCATTCCTTCCCCTCCTGGACGGGGGTGGATGCACCCCACCTCCCAAAAGCAGCAGCACATCCATGATCTGGCACAGCCTCTCAGCAAAAAAGGTTTCAAGTTGTTTAGGTGCCCCAAAGTGATGATTTTTTGCCCAGGGAACTAAATAGCTTGTTCAATCTGGCTGAGATCAGAACAGACAGAACGTAGCATGAAAAACTCCTGTCACATAAATAGCAGCCAATTAAGGGGGATGCATCAGCTCCTCTGCCTGGGATGGATGCACAAGAAAACACATCATCTGGAGGAGTTGGCACCTCTGTGGTCCCAGATTTGCTTGGCAAAGTCTGCCAGGGTTCCCTCAGCCTCTCTGCTGTAAGTTCACATCTCTTAAAAAGGCCCTGATCTGAGCTGGGAAGGGTCAAAATGCAATCACACCCAAGCCAAGCCACTCATTATCCCTCCAGGGAAACCCTGGGTTATGAATCAGGTCATCAGCTCAAAAATAGCGATTTCCAGGAGAAAAACTGAGGAACTGCAGCA